AAAAAAAAAAAAAAAAAGATTTTAAAAAGAGGGAGAAGGAACACAAAACTTTTCCTTGATGAAAAACAATCCCTTTGAGAGTAAAGAGCTGCCTGAACCTGAATCTGGTGATGTTATTCCCGTTTATTCCGGCTATGAAATCCCTTCTTTCTCTCTCTTTCTCTGACCACCTCTGTCTCCCCCTCTGTTTCTTTCTCTATCTATCTCTGCTGTTTCTACCAGTGCATTTTGTAATTTCAAACAGAACTCTTCCTAAAGAACCTGAATAAACCAGAGAGAATGCATTCTACCCATCCTCCCGTCTGCTTTATTGATGCCCCGCCCTCTCGCACACACTCGAGTAGTAAGATTACACGTGAGCAGACGTGTCGTCAATACACTGGTTTGTTTACGTTGCAGGGAATCGATGGGAGGAGCATCACCAACGCTCTCATGTGTGTCCGTTAAATACAGTCTCCACCGGTTGCCTGGCAACCTTTCTTCAAGATGTACAAAATGTCAGCAGGTCATTTTATCAAAACACAGCAGGTACAGACAGAAATACACAGATCAAGAGTATTATTATCATTTAATGTGATGGATGGTTGTTTGATTTTGTTTGTTTGTCAGTCATTTCCTAAAGAGATGAGTGTTGTAGTTTTTATCAGATTTCCTCCGTCAACGCTTCAGCACATTTCCACAACCTCTTCAGAATCCATGACACCAGCAGCTTTCAAGTTCCCTGCAGCGATTAGTTGCACATAAATTGATTAATTACACTTTTGTTTAGGAATATCAGCCACTAAAGAACAACATCCACTAACAAAGTGATGATTTGTTAAAGGGTCCTCAGGCAAAATCTGTCTCTAAGACCTTTTTTTTTTAAATTCCAAATTACACGGCCAGGCTGCGTTAAATGACACTGGCTGAAACTGACAGACTCACAGAACACAAGGGGCCCATGTGGTGTTTTTCTGGGTCAGTGTGTGCGCTGCGCTTGATGGGAACATTAAGGTACAGACTTTCATTTTGAAATGATAAAACATGCTGAACCCTGAGCGGCCTCTCATAGAGGTTGAATGCACTCAAGTCGCTTCGCATAAAAGCCTCAGTAAGATAATTAATTTGTCATCTCTAAAATAATTTCACAGTTTTTCCCTCCACACTTCAATAACAATCAATGTTTACATCTCTTCTGAGAAATACTTCATGATAAAGTTTAACTCATCATTTGTCTTTGTTCCATTGTTCCTCTAAATCCAAAGAAACTTCATGTCTATTGATTTTCACCTGACGGCTGATTGATTTGTTAAGTTAGACCCAAATCCTCCACACAGTAGATGCAGGACTTATGTTGTAAAATCAGCGTGAAGATGAAAAGTTAAACTGAACCTTTGTCTTCCTCAGATCAGAGGATCTGTCTGAACCGAGAACAGAGAAACACAGATGACCTTAGAAACCACAGCAGGCTGTTTATCTTTCTGTTTCCCACTTTAAAATGTGTAGAAATCAAACGCCCCCGTACAGAGTGTCCTCAGACTGTCTCCCTCCTCCTCTCTGTCTACGTCTGGCACTACGTCACTGATGTGGGCTGTGACACACACACACACACACACACACACACACACACASASACACACACACACACACACACACACACACACAGACACCTACACACAACCTTTTGCTGCGTCGTACACTCCCTCCTCCCTGTGTAGTCACGTTTATTTGACATCCCTCCTTCTTCCTTTTTTCTTGCTTTGAACGACGGCTGCGCTTCCTGCAGCCCCCCCACTTCACATCTGTCCTCCCTCCTCTACACACACACACACACACACACACACTCACACACTGTGTAGCACACACTCCTAAACACACAAACAATTATCTTCTAATTAGATTTTTTTTAAGATACCATTATCTGTGGACTTTTAAGGACAGTAATGCATCGCCTCTGGCCTTCATCCTGCCGAACACACACACACACATCATACAAAGCCAGATGTATTGTCGAGCTCTGTCCTCCTGCAGCTGAGTCTTAAAATAGCCTCCTCCTACAGATTCCGTCGCCCGCCAGCATAAATGCATCACTTCCTGTCTCTGCCAGCTCTGCTGCTGCCAGACACACATACACACATACACATACATACACACACACACACTCACGCACACACACATACATACACACACACTCACGCACACAGTCTGTATCCATGGCTTCAAAGGACATTACATTAACTTCCTGCAGACTAATCTAAACCATCTTCAGCTTTAAATCTAACGATGTTGTGGGGACTTGCTTTTTGTCTTCATGAGAAAGTCCCGATAATGTGACTGTGTAAACCTGACTCCACAGCATAAGTAATACCTGGACCACACACACACACACACACACACAAACACACACACACACACACACACACACACACAGACACACACACGTAGGAGTTCTTACTCACTCACACTGAATTAGTCAGTGTTCGGCTGTAATGAAACATTTCAGTCTGTCACACAGTCGCTACTGTGAGAAGCATGAGGTCATGTGTTCACAGCTTCTTGACATGTGATCATCAAATGATCACACACACACAAACACACACACAGACACACACAGACACACACAGACACACACAGACACACACACAATAACACTTGACTTCCTCATTCAATTCCAGAAAAACAGGAGCCACATTCTAATCAAATTTTTACAGAGCATGACTTCCTGTTCACACACACACAGTTTGATCTGTTGTTGGAGGATGAAACTGGATAATATAACACAAGTAACATATAAATATCCACAACATATGTATTAATCCTTTAATTAATGAACACAAGTAAATGAAATAATCACATTAAACACTTTTTACGTGGATTAGCATGTTTGTGACAAAAAAGAATAAGCTCGGTAAAAAAGAGGACGTCTGAACTAATTTTTTGTTTATTCTGTTTCCGTCTGTTTGTGTGTTTGTTGTTAGCAGGATGATGCAATAATTACTCAATCGATTTAAAATACATTTTGTGGAGGGGTGGGGCATGAACCAAGGAAGACACTATCAGATTTTGGAGCAGATACAGATAAACGAGCAGATCCAGGAGTTTTTATCCACCGTCTTTAACATGGCGAGCTGAGGTTTGCTGTCTCCGATCGTCTTTGTTCCACACACATCTGTGAATAGTAAGAGTCGGCTCATTTTCCAGCTGCGTGCCATCAAACCAGGGCAGAAAAACAGATGTGGATAAACAAACGATGGAGAACGAACTAAAAAACTTTTTGTTTTAGTGTGTTCACATCACAGTCTCGTCCCAGAGCTCCACACACATTGGATTTGTTTTTGTCTGCCGCCATGTTTCTTCTCCTGAGTGGACGTCACAGTCACATGCTCCGTGTTGGTCGCGACGTTTCCACAAATGCTGCTTTCAGAAATGCATTGAGCTCCGCATTTTCACCTGAAATTTTCCTGCAGGAACATTTCCGGAGATTTGAGTGGACGTGATGATGAGGTTTCTAACACGTGACGGACGTGAAGCTGGAAGAACACAAACATCTCAGGATGAAGAAGAGGAGCCGGACACGTAGAAGACGAAGACGTCAACTTGGAAAGACGAGGAGATTCTAGAGTATCATTCCATTAAAATATTCGGTTGCAGTTTAATGACACAATCACAGCTATACATTTTCAAATATATGTTTAGGTTACATTAACACACGATGAGCAGTGTGACGTTAGCGGTCAAAGACGCTGTGTTTGTGCCCACGCACATCTGGCTGCATCCTCACTTTGATTGGCCCGGCAGTTTATCTGCCGGTCGATGTGCGGTGCTTGCATCCTGTGTGAAGACATTTCCTGTGCTGTTCTTTTTTTAGCTCGTGGCTGTTACTGAGCTGTTGGAGCTGCACGTCACTGCGACTGTCTGGCCTCTGCACTGTGCATCTTAATGAAGCTGCCACATATATGAGGCTGGTGCATCGCTGAAAACATCTCTGAGGCAGCAGCGCTTGTTATGTACATTAAATATTAGAAATACTTTTTTATTGCATCGTAGAAATGAATCAAATAAAACTGGATTCACGTTAGAATTAACTCATCTGTGTCCGAGATTGTTGTGAATGAGTCATAACACAAACTTGGAAAATAATCAGTTTTTTTTTTAGTTTATTCTGAAATAAGAAATATTCCCACTGAGCTGTTTGAATGGAGATGCAGCTGTGCCATTTTGTTTTCTTCGCTTCAAAATAAGATTCTCCTTTTTTTCTTCTTCAAGGTCGTCAAACTGCACACATCCGGTGGCCAGAAGCATTATGTTGTCTGTCCGTCTGTCCCATTCCTGTGAATGCGATATATATTACGACTGCCTTCAGGGGAATTTCTTTAAACTTTTGTACAAAGATTAAATTTGACTCAAGGGTCAACTGATCAGATTTGGATAGTCTTGTGAACGTAATATCTCCTGAGCGACTCGAGGGAATCCTGTCACATTTGGAAACAACATAAATTTGGATTTAAGAATTAACTGATTACATTTGGTTCCTGGAGGTCAAAGGTCAAGGTAAAAGATGGTGGCACCTGCTCCAGAATATTTTGACTTTGACATTTTTCTTCTTTTTGAGAATACAGTCTGTCAACTTCAAAATCTGCTTCGTTTGCTGGTGATGTGCGGCAGCAACTCTACAATCAGAAACGTGGCAACTGTGGATCAACAGGAACAATTTGATAACAAAACTTTAAATTGACACTGTGGCTGTGTCCGAAGTCCCGATGGAGTCCATTATATGGGGAATTCGCCTTTTTTTTTTATTGCTGTCAGAATGTTTAGTGAAATATTTTCCAACCAAGTGTCCTTATTGTGTCCCACAGTGCATCATGGAAAGTATCGTACAACCGACGGTTACTAACCCAGAAATATATACCATCATACATTGGACTCGCGGCATTGACAGGAAGAAAAATGGCGGAGCGACGAGAGAAGAGAGTTGCTTATATCTCTGAAAGAGAAGTATTGAGTGACCACACCTCATTGAGATCTATTCATCCATCAATTTACCTAATAATGTTTAATTGTGCTACTCTTATTTGCATACATAAGTGGAATTGTCGTCATTAGTGAACTGATGATCCTCGTTTTACAAAATAATAAACACAATTACAGGCTGAATAATTATTGATTAAGGAGCTTAAAGATGGATTTCTACGTTTATTTTAAAATGTCAGTGTAAACACACACACACTGAATGACCCAGATCTGGAAGCTGTTGTTTGTTTTATGTTAATCCAGTGATGCAGTACAGATCAGGGTCAGTATATGATAAAACTCTGATCTGAAGGTTTACGGGTACATGCATGGTATTAACACTCAGGGTGCCATAATACGAAAACATCAGTGGACACGCAAAAAGGAAAAATAGAGAAAACAGGAATGGGAAAATCTGAGGTGTCACCAGATCATTTGAGTCACAAGAAGAGAACAAATTATGTTCGTCACACAAATTAGTTTTACTTTATTCGACTTTGGTCATTTGCCGCTAACCACGTTTGGCTTCTTTTAGCTCTCGCCAACAGGTGAAGTGTAAACGCTGATGCTCTCTCTTGTTCCTCTGTCAGTTGTTTGTGTCTGTTGTTGGTGTGTGACGTGTGTAATGTCCCAGCCTGGTGCACCAGAGTTACATAAGCCGTGTCTCAGTTTCAGAGGCTGCATGCAGCTTTAACCTCTGGGACCGAACAGAAATGACACGGCCCGGTCTACAGAGGACTTCTGTAATCGCTGCCACCAACTCGCATCCTTATTGCTCATGTGAACCGTTTGGTGTTTGGTTGAGCTGAAGCGTACGGGCACCATCTCCTCTTTGACAGAAATGGTTTGTCACTAGAGAGCAATGAATCCTGGGATAGGTCGGGCTGGGAGGGATCCACCTGCTGGAGCCTCGGTTCCTCTGGGATGCATTACTAAGGATGCGGCCCATTAATTGAGACAAAGCCAACATGCAGTTCCAGGGGGCGCTGTAGCACTGACAGACAAATGATTCTCCCCATCATTATTTTTTTTTTTTACCCTCAAAACGATTTTGAAGCCGTTATTTAAGGCATAAAAACAACTTAGTGTTGCTTTCGGGAAGCTAAAGAAACCACCTCATCAGACCTTTAAAGGGTAAAACATCATCATTCCTCAGTTCTTCATCATCAATGTTGTTTTCTCCAGTCTCATTCTCCCTCCTCTTGACTCACGTGCTCTGACATCATGAACATAAACAAAAGGACGGTGACGAGAACCCGAGCGACTGGAACAACCTGATCACCACCATCGGTTTCCAGTCATGTGGCAGAAAGTGTGAAGATGACAGCGATGCAGACCAAGGCCTCAGGCTCTATAAACACTACCTGTTGCTCTCTGCATTATTCAGTGTTTGGCCCCGGCTGCTGCTGTGACGTTGCGTAACTCGTTTATCATGACTCCTCTGAATCGGGTCATGGTGGGAGGGAAGGATATGATTGAGATTTCTGTTGTAATCCACAGGAAATTGTACAACCCTGGAAGCTGTGTGAGTTTGTTTATTCCAGTGTGTGTGTCTTTCTGTAAGCATGAGATTAGCGGCAGCAAGCCAGACTGGCGCTGGGTTGTACCAACCTCCTCCCTCTAATAAAGGATTGACCCTGTGAACTGTGGCCCAATATAGACCAACAGCCCCTTTAATTAGGAAATAACTGTGTGTGTGTGTGTGTGTGTGTGTGTGTGTGTGTGTGTGTGTGTGTGTTTGTAACTCAGCAACAAAGAGCTCAGGATGCCTCAGTTCCATTTCATCAGTTTATTACAAATATTTACAACATGAATTCAATCAAACGAACAAAAAGAGCAGCTTGAAATTCGAGGTAATGTTTTTCTCACATGTCACTGGAGAGCAGGAACATTTCAGTGACTTGAAAACACAGAAAGTTAAGAGCATGTTTTTCTTTCTCCAAAGCACCGTGTGAACACGGTATGTAGGACAGTGCAGAGCAGTAGTATTGATTTATTAAAGTCCACAGCAGCAGCAGCTGGATGTGTGTGTGTGTGTGTGTGTGTGTCTCTCCACTGCTCTTCCTCTCCGTGTCAGAGTCTGAGTTCCTCGTACAAAGGCAGGAAATTCCCTGAAGTCCTGCTCCTGTGTGTGTGTGTGTGTGTGTGTGTGTGTGTGTGTGTGTGTGTCTGTGGTCAAACGTTCACCACCTCACTTCTTCTTCTCTGTCTGACTCAATAATTCTCGGCTGAATCACACATTCACACACTTTGAGTCAGCAGCAGTCACTTGTTTGTTCTCATCTGAGTGAAGGTGAATCACTGGGAAACTAAAAAGTAACTCAACCAGTTCCCCTTCGGTTTCTCCCTCAAACTTTCCGGCCTCTTCAGTTCCCTTCCTCGGCCTGAGTCTCTGTCTCTCCTGCTTCTCGGCCTGTTGGTCACCACTGGGGCTTTTACGCGCCCGACAGGCACACGCAGTTCCACCGCAGAGGTCGCACCACGGCCCCGGCAACCACTCGTGTCCCGGGACGGCTGATGTAGGTCAGCTCCTCGGTGCGCGCAGGGATCAGATCGCCCTTATAGGTTAACGATCAACTCCTCTCCTAAGTCTCATTGGAGGCTATTTTCTCCCCCTCCATATGTTCAGAAGGCAGGTATAACCCGATTTAGAGACAAAGCGGTCAGGGATTCCACGGCCCCTACGCGACAGCTGCCCAGCATGGCCGCGTACCTCTCCTCTCCGGGCTCCAGCCTCGCCCTCTTGCTGGGAAGGAAGTCAGGCGCCGCCGACGCCTTCCCCCGGCGTTTCCTGGACTGCCTCGCCGGACTCTGGTTCTCTTTGTCCTCCGTGGATTCACCATCAAAGTCTTTCCCCGCGTTGCCTGGCTCCTCCACCGGCGTTTCAGCTCGAGTCTGTGCGGGTTGGGGCTCAGGCTGAGGCGCGGGCGACTTGGTTTGTTCCCCCGAGCAGGAGCCGGTGTCCATCGGCTCGGCGTCTGTCGGCTGGGCCTCGCTCTCCCGGGAGGAGTGATAGATGTCCCGGGCAGACCTCATGACCAGGGAGAGCAGGAGGCTCCGGTGGAGTCTCAGTCCGCCTCTCTGGGTCCTGGACGCGTACAGCTTGCTTATCGACACCGCCAGGATCCTTCTGGCTTCGGCGTTCACCTCCATTGCTGCTGTGGCACTCATGGTTTTTACGCACAATTACGCACGGTCGTTTTTGGCACTTCGAAACAGCAGACGGTCTTTTGTCTGTCCAGAGTCAGATTTCAGTTTGTAGCGAGTCTCAGCTCGAGTCTCAGCTGTTCATCGGGTGATGAGCTCAGCGAAATGAGCGTGTGAGCAGCAGGGTGGCGTTTTATTTCCTCTTTGACGTAACGTGGACTTCATTCCTCAGTGACAAACAGGCGCCGCCCACACCTGCTAGCTACACACACACACACACACACANATTACTTCAGGACACACACACACACACACACACACACACACACACACACACACACACACACACACACACACACACACACACACACACACACACCATCTGCTCAGTGAACCGTTTTTCTCACGGTCCATCTCTTTTATTATTTAAATGTCTGTGCGTAAGAATCGAATGTGGTGGATTCAACTAACATTTGATCAGTTCCTCTTCCTCGTATTCATCTTTAATCATCTTCCTCACCAGCGTGACGCGTTACAATAAATATCCTCATTTACAAACAAGCCATTAATCATTATTAGATTAGATCAACAACACAAGAAGGCAAAAGCGTTTTATATAAAAGTATGAATGTATTTAAGTGTGATAGTAAAACAAGTATCGTGTTACATCACTGCATACCTTACAGTTTGTTTTATTTTCAGATTATTTCAGTTTCTGTAATAATTGAGTTTTTCTCCCAATGAATTCTCATCAAAATAAGTTTTTTTATTACACATTTTAATTTGTGGTTCAATATCAATAAAGGACAAAACACAACCACTGGAAACAAAATCCTATAATGTATGATTATATTTGTTATAAAATATAATATATAAGGATATTAGATTAGATTTTATGAAACAGACTCACATCTGGAGGAGCTGGACAGATGTTTGAGGAGAGGAATCAATGGAAGGAATTTAAAGAGGCTGATTGAAAACGTGAGGGAACAAATTCAAAGCTATAAAAAGAGCTGAGACTGTGTCAGTGTTTACATTCTAAAAACAACTGTTCGAGGAACTTACGACGAGAGAAACGAGTCACACACACACACACACACACACACACACACACACACACACACACACACACAGCACTACGTCACTCACTCGCACTCGCAGCCTCCATATATGGTCCATCCGGTTGTAAAGCCCCCATGGGGACGCGCACAGTGGAAAAGCCGTGACGCGAACGCGCAACCGCCCCCCTCCCCGCCCCCCCCTCTCTCTCTCTCTCTCTCTCTCTGTCTTTCGCTCCCTCTCGGCGATGACGTCATCACCCTTCCATATATGGACCTGTCACCGGTGTGAACGAGGTCACCGCCAGATACCGTGATGACGCAATATGACAACTGTAGAATTCTGCAGCCAGAGTATGTTTCAGTCATTTTAACAATCCTGCAAAAGTTCCACTTTTCATATTGCACATTGAAATATATTCTATTTGTCTTCCATAATACTTTTATGATCATAT